GGGGGGGGAGGGGAGGGATTTAGCTTTTTCTCGTCGAGAATTCGTCCAATTTTATGCCGTATAAAAATAAGCAAACCCTGAGTAAACTGAGTGCCAGCTGGGACGGGCTGTGCGCAGAAAAAAGGAGAGAACAAACGGATCGTTTTTCCTCTGGGCATCCCCGGGATGTCTTATCGTCGAGCTTGTTGCACGGGGAGGCTGCTTCTGTCAACATCGAAAGGAAAAACGCCGAGGGGACGAAAAATCACGAGCTTAGGACAACGATTAAACTGACTGATTCCTCGTACTTACTCCCGGCTTTGTGGTTCCCAATTTCATGCTGAATTCGCGCGAAAACGCAGTCGAATATAATCAGGTGATTTGTAAAAGTTATTATTAGAATTAGTTTACCACCTTCTATTGATCTTTAGTGACGTTAGCCTTTGGGAAATAATCTTCGCTCCCTTTATCAGTGTGTGAAGTAAATTTCATAAAATTTCACCAAATTGTGAAACATCACGACAGCTTTATTTTCGGAAGGGGAGTTCTCTTGTTCGATTTTTGACACTCGAAGCGAAATTCGCATCTTGGCCAAACATTTTCCGCTGTTTTCCCTCATCTTCGTCGTTTAGAGCTAGAACAACACAAAGGGGGCAGGGAGTAGCAATAACATCGAAGAAACGATAAGTTTGCATTTATAAAGCCGTATCCTCGGAAAAATGACATCAGATTCTAAAGCAGCGAATTTATATTTTATTGTTTTACATATGTTTTACATATCGTGCCACGGGTACTTAGCTCTCCAATTGGAAAATATTTCCTACCAGTGGGACACTGTTTTCCTCGTTGAATTCGCATACAGATGTGGTTGTTGCGCAACTCTTTACGATGCAAATGAAATTTCAAGGTGTTTTGTATAATTCAGATAACGTATTTTAACATAATTACTATAATATAATTATCTCGATATAATTATATTACGATATAATAATAATTATTTTAACAGTGTTTGAATACTTGCGTGAACGAATGTACGTAACTGAAAGCAGCAGAACATCTGCAAAAGAGAACTTGCGTGACGTTAAAGAGGTGTGGAAAATCGTTGGTTCTAACGAACACGTCAGACCAAGTTATTTGTCACCGCGGTCTTGGGTTATTCAGATTAAAATCAGAAATTTGAACCGGAGTAGAAGGAACTGCAATGCTGGCGCGTCGAATATAAGCGTTCATTACGAGGCTTTCTGCGAATCTCTCCTACGGATCTTAATTCTATGGGATTCTTAAACGATGCTCTTAATTTAATTTGAATGGAAATTAGATCGTTTCTTGATTCTTGTTATATCAATGAAAATGTACAAATCAAAATGTAAAATATCAATTATAGAAAATATGGTATCTTTATATAGTTATCTTCATC